GATTCGTCCGTCCTCTTCTGGTGAGATCGACCTACGAATCTCTTCTTCATGCACTTTCATACGAAATGCAAGTATAGTAGCTGTATATAATATTCATCACCTTAAACGAAATAGGGTGAATACATCTCATATTACTGATTTACTGGTTGTCTCGAAACTCTACTTAAATACGAAGAATAAGTAACGTAGCCGATTGTTATAGCAAATATACGTATGCTTCATCGACAATCCCACCAAATAATGTCATATGGCAAAAGGCCTGGTTTTCCTTGGAATTCACATCCGCCCTGTAACGCAAGAGCACTCGTGGCAATGTGGCCGAGTGGGTAACATGTCAAGCTCACATTCTGAAATGTCACGGTTCGAATCCCGCTGGGGGTGTTGATAAGACCAGTTGATGCGAGGTAGAAACTGCAGTCCACTCCAGCCGGGATGAGAACAACTTTTAGGAAAGCAATGCTATACGAAATTGAATGGAAACGTCAGTTCAACTCTTATCATTGTGGGAAAATTCAATTACCAGTCCTTCATCACCTCAAACGAAATAGGGTGATCTATTGGTAGTCTCAAAACTCTGTTTATATACGAAATCTAATTCAAAAGTTTGCCTTCCAAGTGGGCACCACTCATAGTTTGCTGAAAGAAATTATTTGCCTTAACTTCGGCCCGAGTATGCAAAGGTGTATTGGTATGAGTCTTGTAAAGTGACAAGAAGTTTTTTATTTATCTTTTATAGATCAGTCGCATTTCATGGCATAGTAAGTATTCGGTTGCTCTTTAAATGTCGCTAACAGCAATTGCATCCTTTGCACTCTCACTTTGTCAAAGGGTCTCTGAGACCTGGTCACCTCCGCCAGATAGAAGTCCATGTTATTATGCTTTCTAATTGGGCTCTGCTAAATCGGTGAGGTTGATTAGATAAACAAACTTAAAGACTCCATTTAACTTACGTAGGCAAGACAATTAGACTAACCTATCAATAAATATCACTCTTTTTAACCCATTTAAAAATGAAATTACATATTGTGACGAATGTCGTCATCCTTTTTATTTGACTTAAATAAGTTCCTGAGGCAGATCTAATAAAATATTAATGGAAAATTTTTGCTGGCAATTTCTCACTGCCCGATTTGCCTATAAAATTCAGCCGTCTGGGACGTGAAATATCCAACTGTTCGTTTAAAATGATGCAATCCTCTAGGAACAAACAGTTTAAAAGATGCATCTCAATATGTTTGCTGCATTGGCAATTGGGATGCTGAACTCTCGCAGTTTAGCTGTGGTGGTGCCCAGGCAGAGGAAGTGTTTACTTTTTTAGTTTCGATTGGCAGACTTGGAAAACAGACGGCCACGTTTATCCAAGGAGAATAGAGACTCTGCATTAAATAAAAATTCAACTGTACATTTTTGAGGCTGAATAAAGCCTCTAAAACTAGTCCTGTTTTCCAACTTTTTCATTAGTAGAGAGCCACTTTAAAAATGTTTCAAAATTCGCCTGGGCATATTTTGGGTTTGCTCATATTTATACAATTGTCAACTTATGAAGTATTTTTATAAAGTTGTCTTCTTAATTATCTAACAAAACTCGCAAAAATCCGGCTTAAGGGAATGTTATTTGATGGAAACTAAAGAGCCAAGTAATAGCGTTAGAGAAACCACGCAGCCACGATACCTTGATTGGCTTATTTCGTGATAAAATGTCTGGTGAAGGGATTCTTTTTTTCAATCCTACCAAAAAGCGAAAGCCGAGTCCAATTACTCCTTAAAATAAGGTAAAAATGGACAAGTTTTTGTCTGTTATTCAATAAAAAATAAACAGAGCTGGATCCCATTCTTATAAGCACTTCAAGACAGCTTGTCAATAAAATGTTCGCTAAGTACTCTGAAATAAACAGGACAACGCTAAACCACATACTTAGGCATATGAGTATTTAGATTGGCATGAAAAAAGGAAAAAATTATAATATATATATTCATCTCTAGCTATACATTTTTAGTTATATTTAGTTACTGTTGGTAAGTTAAATAGCCTATAAGTTAGCGAAGGTTAGTTTTATGAATTGGTGTTCACTGGGAGATTTTGTAAATATGAGATCAAGTTCCGTGGATGTTTGTAAATTGGCATGGCAGACGAAAGATCAGTC